CTTTGGCAGGACCCTCAGAAAGGAAATTCAGCATCCAAGTAGCCTCTCGGGCTCCAGGAGCCTTGAAATGTCTGCCTGCTCCACTTGAAACTCTCCTAAGTTGCCAGTGACCCAGCAGGAAACCCCTGGAGACAAGTGCCAGTCCAGAGGTCCGCATCTTGGCCCCTCCTCCAGCCCCACTGAGCCAGCCCTTCTCACTCTGTGACTTCTCTTCCTATTAGATAACCTTCCCTGGATCTCCCAGACTGTCTGCAAAATGTAATCAAGTGGCCCAGCTGATACCGTGGAATGACTCTCCTCTGCTCGAGAGCCATCCAAGTCCACCAGTGCCCTCAGGATGGAGCACACAGTTTCCAGCTGGCATTCTGGACTTGTACCCTGGAAACCTCTCCAGCCTGCTCTCTCAGCCTTCAATCCCTTGTCCACAGATAGCCTGGGCATCAAGCCACTGGCTGTCTCCTAATGGGGTGCTGTCCTGCCTCAAGACTTTTGCACATGCTATCTCTTTTGCCCTGAAGGCCTTAGAGGACATTCTTCTGTTCTTTAAGAGCTAGTGTCCACAGTGTTATTGATGTCGCCTCCCCATTCAGTGAGCAGAAGCCTCACAGTCCATCCTGTGGCATCCCCACTGCCCAGCCTCTGGCACCTTGTTCCTCCCTCTGCCTCAAGCTCATGAAGGGGATTTAGGAATCTGATTCGAATTCTAATACCACCACCACCACTCCAACTGCCTGGGAGCATTGAGCCTCTCTGGAAGCCCAGGATCACCCGGCATGGGTTGATTTATAGAATTTGGTTGGATGCGTGTGTGAGTTCATGAATGAACACAGGATACGTTTCAGACACTCCGACCTACCCAGCACACAGGCCTGTCTTCATATCTCCCCACCTTCTAGCCATGCAACATGCTTTCTCCCTTTCCCAAACTGAACAGCTCCTCTTTTCCTTCCCTGAAAATATATTTCCCTGTCTTCTGCTCTCCTACTCTACTTGGCAAACTCCTATTCATCTTTCAAAACCCAAGTCCTAGGTGCCCTTTTCTATGAAGACACCCCCAACACCTAGGCTGAGTGCATCAGTGCATCAGTGTTGTCTTCTACAAACCTGACCACAAGTGTTTGAGCTTTGCTTCCTCAGCTCCAGGCTCAGTTTCTTGAAAGCAGAGCAGCAAGAAAGTAAAAGATTCTTCTCCAGAGAAGTATTTTCCAACTGTTGGTAATGATTCATCAACAGGGTTGGGTGAGGCAGCTCATGCCTGTAATCCCAGCACTGTGGGAGGCCAAGGTGGGTGGATTGTTTGAACTCAGGAGTTGGAGACCAGCCTGAGCAAGAGCAAGACCCCATCTCTACTAAAAATAGAAAAACTGCCTGGGCATTGTGGTGTGCACCTGTCGTCCCAGATACTAGGGAGGCTGAGGTAGGAAGATCATTTGAGCCCAGGAGTTTGAAGTTGCTGTGAGCTAGGCTGAAGCCACACACTCTGCTCAAGGTCACAGAATGAGACTTTGTCACACACACAAAAAAACACTCATCCATGGATAATGATGAAGTCAATATGAACATATTTTTAAATTTTTTTCTGCTGCTACATATTTTCTCTTTCATTTACTCATTTGCATCCCTAGATCAGAAACATGCTTCTAAATAGCTGCATAGTATTTCCCAGAATGCATTCAGCCCTACACACATCACTGGCAAAGCCATAGCTTCCATATTTTGTTGTTGTTGTTGTTGCAGTTTGTCTGGGGCCAGGTTTGAACCCGCCACCCTTGGTATATGGGGCTGGCACCATGCTCACTGAGCCACAGGTGCCACCCATTTTTTTTTTTGAGACAGAGCCTCACTATGTCACCCTTGGTAGAGTACTGTGACATCACAGCTCACAGCAACTTCAAACTCTTGTGCTTAAGTGATTCTCTTGCCTTAGCCTCCCAAGTAGTTGAAACTATAGGCGCCCGCCACAACACCCCACTATTTTTGTTGTTGTAGTTGTCATTGTTGTTTAGAAGGCCCAGGCCAGGTTTAAACCCACCAGCCCCGGCATATGTGGCCAGCGCCCTAGTCCCTGAGCTACAGGCGCCAAGTCCCACTTGGTCACCCTTGGTAGAGTACCGTGGTGTCATAGCTCACAGCAACCTCAAACTCTTAGGTTCAAGTGAGCCTCTTACCTTAGGATCTTACCTCTTACCAGGTAGCTGGGACTACAGGTGCCCGCCACAATGCCTGGCTTGTTTTAGAGATGGGGTCTTGATCTTGCTCAGGCTGGTCTCAAACTCCTAGGCTCAGGCAATCTACCTGCTTTGGTCTCCCAGAGTGCTAGGATTACAGGAGTGAGCTACCAAGGCTGGCCAGCTTCCATTTTTAAAATTCATTTATTCATTTCTATAAAAATGATTCAGGGATGACTCATGTATATAAGTCTCACTGTCTCTTGGGATTATCTCCTTGGTAAAAATTCCTAGTGCTGCAATGACTAAGTCAGGAAGAAGAGGGTCATTTGTGGATCCATTTCTCAACACAAGCTGTCAAATTGCCCATAGCCTGCTGCAATATGCAAGCATGCCCATATTCACTGGTAATAAACTCACTTTTAATCCCTGGAATGAGAGGCAAAAAAGAAGAAAAAACGTATTGCTTCGTGTGTGACTGCTCATTGGTGAGTAGACTAGGAGCTGGCAGACCGTGGTCCATGGGCCGAGCTCAGCCACTGCCCCGAATCGCATGCAAACTAAAGCATGATGTTCACATTGTTAAATGTTGAAAAAATTAAAAGGAGATTATTTCCTGATGTGGAAACTATAGCAAATTCACATTTCAGTGTCCATTAAAAAAAGTTTTATTGGCACACAGCTCTGCCCATTTATTCACATTATTACCTGTGGCTGCTCCCTGGCTGCAGTGGCACAGTCAAGCATTTAGACAAAGTCCTCATGGCCTAGAGTCAAAAGCAGGCGTCCTTAACTACGGCCCACGGGCCACATGTGGCCCACCTAGGACATTTGTCCGGCCCGCCGGGTGTTTTTGCAGCGCTGCCTGTCCTGCTTAGCAGCCGACTGGTTCTGGGGCCCGCAGTCTGGCCCTTCAACAGACTGAGGGACAGTGAACTAGTCCCCTGTTTAAAAAGTTTGAGGACCCCTGGTCAAAAGTATTTACCAGCCAGTGCTGTGCCGAAAAAGTCTGCAACCCCACCTTTCAAACTATGTTATTTATTAGCTACACGCTCAAAGAGTTTTGGAAGAGAAAGTTTTAGGGAAACCATTTGTTTTCCTTTTTCCTTTTAACAGGCCTAAACTAGAGACAGGACAGAAATTTCTCTGATATAATAACTCTGACTCGTCTGATCACAGTGTTTTGGATAGATTAGAGTAAGAAATATCCAGGTGTGTTTACACCAGGGAAAGGTAAGTCTTATTTTATGAACCTTTTCTTTCTCCTTGATAAATATCTGGAAATGGAAGTACAGGGTGAGGATAATGTAAAATATCTTTCCTAATAGGTGTCACGGCCAGAAGAGAGCATGAGACCTGCAGCCTTGTGCAGTAGCTGCCATTGCGCAAGTCATTCCATTTGGAGACAGGCTAAAGGGGATCCAGTGGGGGAGGATTTTGCATGAAATGAGAACACACAGCTGTCCCCCGGCCCAGCCCGCCCCTGAGTCACCCCTTGTCAGTACCTTCTGTGGGGGCCCCCACCTGGGGATGGGCTGAACAGAGCTGCTGAGGATCCAGAGAGAAGGGATTTGGCATCCCTACCCCTCTCCTCAGCCTCTTGGGATTAGCACATTCAGCTCCCTCCCATTTTATAGATGGGACTACTGAGGACCAGAGACTGTATCTCTGGCCAGAGAAGAACAAGAACCAGTGAGAGCTTCCGTGAAGAGCTGTGAGTCTCACACACCCATCCTCTAGTCCCAGGAAGCCACAAGTTCAAAGGTAACAAGGTCAGAGCAACTGGGGAATCTTGGGACTGAGCCTCTTGCCCACCTGCCAAAAACGTCTCCTGGATTCACCAAGTTTCAATCCTGACTCTACCTACCAGAGGATGACCTTGAGCATATCCTTCAAATTCCCTGAATGCCTTTTTCCTAACCTAGAATATGGTTTCTAACTCCCAATGTCATTGTGAAGATTAAATGTTTAGTACGGTGTCTGGGACACAGCAAGCATGTAATAGCCATGTTCCCATAATGCTTTGCTCATGGTTTGCTGCACATGAACTACACGCTGGCACAGAACTTGTGTGCAGACCCCCCTCCATCCCTGCAGCTCCCGGAAGGCATGCACCTGCCTCCTTCACCACTGTGTTCCCAGCACCCAGCACAGGGGCAGCACAGGTGCACACGTGGTCTTTGGCTGCCTGCATCTGTTGAGCTTTGGTTAAACACTATTGCCATGGATGCCAGGTGTTGCATCCATGATATTTGAGCATCTCTAATGTCCTCCAGCAGGGCTGGTGGAAGGAAGGGTGACCAACCATCCTGCTATGCCCAGAACTGAGGGATTTCTGGGGAGGTGGAACTTTAAGAAACTAGGATTGTCCCAGGCAAACAGAGACTAGTTGGTGACCCTGGGCTGAGGATGCAGCTGAGGACAAGACGGACACAGTCACCTCTTCCAGGAAGCAATCCTTAGTTGGACCCATCCTCTGGCTCAGGGGCTCCCTCTTTCCCCTGCTGCTGGCAGGTACCTGTATGCCCTGCCATTACAATACCATCACCCTGAGTTGCAAATGCCTGAGGTCTCGTAAGCATTCTTTGTTCAGGGAGGCCAGACCCCTGTCCTTTTTCTGGCCAACAGGTATGCTCCCAAAACCTACCACAGAGCTTGGCACCAAGTGAAAACCAGTAAATGGATGAAAGTCAGCTCCTCTTGGCTAACAGCTGAGAAAACCCAAAGCTCAGACAGGTGACTCACTCAAGCAAGATTCCCCAGTGAGGATGTGAGTTCAAACCTGCACCTGTCTGGTGAGGCTCCTCCACCCCCCTCCGGCCCAGCCCTCACCGTATTGTAGAACTCGGCAACCAGCTCCGAGTACTGGAAGTTGCTCTCACACCAGTCCACCTCAGAGCTCTGGTAGGCAAGGATACTAGGCATCTTGATGCAGCACTAACCACCCTCTGGCTGTGCCTGGCACTGGGGACAAGGGAGGCTCGGAGGGCTGGGCTGTGAAGGTGGGGAGGGGACAGCTCCAGCCTGTGGCAGGCTGAGAGGAAAAACCTGCTGGGTCGCTCCTGGTTGCACCAGGGCAGCCTGGCTGAGCAGTGGCAGTGGCCCTGGGCATGAGCTGTGGGCGTGAGGGGCGGGCAGGGAAGCCTCCCATCCAGGCTTGCAAGGAGTTGTGGGGTGGGGAGGACTGTTTTTAGAACAGTAATAAAAAATAATAATAACATGGAGTCCACTGAGATGGAATGAGTCCACTATCACTATCCCCATCTTACAGGTGATCAAACCAAGACACAAAGTCATCTGCAGAGGGCACATAGGAAATAACCCCAGGCTGGATCTGGACCCCAGGGTCCTCATCACCATTACATTTTACTGTCTCAGCACCATCCAGAGCCCCATGTCAGGAGCAGCACAGCCAGATACCTGGCCCCAGGAACTCAGCTCAGTTCCCTGGGAGTCCTTGGCCAAGTGCCCCTTCCCGTTCACTTCCCCTTTAGGGACCTCAGTCTTCCCATCTGTCCTATGGAAAGCTGGACTGAATTGAAGCCATTTCTCTTGTGTGGTTGACATCTCATATGGTCAGAATATTCCATCTTTCACCAGAAGCCACCTTCAAAGCCTTTTTGAGGAGGCCAGCATGGTGGCTCATGCCTGTGATCCCAGCACTTTGGGAGGCTGAGGTAGGGGCATCAATTGAGGCCAGGAGTCTGAGACTAGCCAGAGAACATAGTGAGATGCTGTTTCTACAAGAAAAAAAAAAAAAAATCAGCCAGGGGTGGTGGCACACACCTGTAGTCCCAGCTACGCTGGAGGCTGAGGTGGGAGGAGTGCTTGAGCTCAGGAGTTTGAGGCTACAATGAGCTGTATCATTCCACTGCACTCTAACTTGGGGGACAGAGTGAGAATATCTCTAAAAAAAAAAAAAAAGAAGAAGAAAAAAAAAAGGAAAAGGAAACATTGTAACCCTACTGTGGATAAAAATTAAATGCAACCTTCCAGGAAGACAAGCTTACTAAAAAATAAATACAATGTAAACAAAAAATAATACCACTTTTCAGCTGGATACTGTTGCCTGTTAAAGGATCATTTTAGATCAAACAAAGGGAGTGTTAAGAGGCATAAAACATTAGCACTGACCCAGCTGCTCTCCTCTATTGAGAATTTTAAAAAGGAGATTATTTACCACACAGTTCAATTGTTTTGAATGTAGGTCCACATATCAAAATTTATCTTCCTGGCTTGGTGCCTGTAGTGCAGTGGTTACTGGCACTGGCCACATGCACTGAGACTGGAGGGTTCGAACTCAGCTTAGACCAGCTAAACAATGACAACCGCAAAAAAAAAAAAAAAAAAAAAAAAGCCAGATGTTGTGTCGGGCACCTGTAGTCCGAGCTACTTATGAGGCTGAGGCAAGAGAATCTCTTAAGCCCAAGAGCTGGAGGTTGCTGTGAGCTGTGATGCCACAGCACTCTACCCAGGGCGACATAGTAAGATTCTGTCTCAAAAAAAAATTTATCTTTCTAGGGAGATGCTGCATTAGCTCATTAAATCTTCACAACAGCCCAGAAAGTGCAGTGCTACTCATATTATTCTTCCCATTTTACAAGTGAGGAAACTGAGGCTCAGAATGGTGATGTTGCTTGCTTCCCTTGACCATTGTCTGCTTTGGGCTTCAGTTTCCTTGCTAGTAACCTGGAGATAAAAACAGTTCCTCTCTCTTAGGGTTGTGAAGAACAATTAACAAGATAATGCTGAAAGCCGAGTGCATAGAAAAGAGCCAGGCACTAACAAGCAGTTAGTAAAAGTGTGATTGCGGCTCGATGCCTGTACTCAGTGGTTAGGGCACTGGCTACATACACCGGGGCTGGCAGGTTTGAACCCGGCCAAGTCCTGCTAAAAACTACAATGACAACAACAACCAAAGAATAGGCAGACGTGGTGGTTGCCTGTAGTCCCAGCTACTTCGGAGGTTGAGGCAAGAGAATTGTTTCAGCCCAAGAGTTGGAGGTTGCCATGAGCAGTGATACCACAGCACTCTACTGAGGGTGACATAGTGAGACTCTGTCTCAAAAAAAAGGAAAAAAAGAATTGGGCAGCACTTGTGGCTCAAAGGAGTAGGGCGCCGGCCCCATATGCCAGAGGTGGTGGGTTCAAACCCAGCCCCGGCCAGTAACTGCAAAAAAAAAAAAAAAAAAAGTCTGATTGCCTTAAAATTCAAGGTCAGCAATAATAACAAAAGCCATTACTATTTATTGACAGTCTACTCTGGGCCAGGCTGTGAGCTGAGCCTTTGACCCACTGTGTCTCTATGTGCCTTTGTGACATTTGGATGGATCATCCTCCTCCCCACATTACGAGTGAGCAAACCAAGGATCAGAGAGGGCAATTCTTAGAAAGTGAAGGAACTTAGAACTCAAACCCAGGCTTACCTGACTCAGAACTTTTCATAGTCCTTGAGTCCTTGGAAGTCAGGACTAGAAACCCCAGACTCAGAACTGCACAACAGAGGCTTATCTGCTCTTGGGGGCTTCCTCCACCCCCTATTTTAGAGAGACAGGACAATGAATGAAAAGAGGTTAATGTCATTGCTGGTGCTGCTGCTGCTGCTGCTGCTGCAGCAGTTTTCACTGAAAAAGTGTCAAATGCTTCAGTGGCCACACTCTGCCAGGTACCCAGAGAGGTGCCTTACCTTTGAGATCCCCAGGAAAAATGGAAAGAATATCAAGTATGGAGATGAGGGAGGAGGTGCCTAGAGCCTGAACTAAAGCTCCACCTGACTCCCCATATGGCAGTAACCCCCTACACACACACACACACACACACACACACACACTATTTAGCCATAGCCCTGACTCCCAAGTCCCTTTCCCAGGTGGACTGGGAGAGCAGACACCAACCCCACCCAGCCCTGCAGCAGGGAGCCCGACACCTTCCCCCAAGTGACCTCAGGCTGGTCCCTGCTCCATGCAGGGGGTGGAGCAGATGGGCCCTGGAGTCCCTTTCTGTTTCTATCTGGGGCAAGGCGCAGCCAGTGGATCCAGCTCTCTGAATCTTGGTGAAGCAGCAGGAAGCAAGGTGGTGACAAGTGCCCATGCCCAGCCCGGCCTAGGGAGCTTGGAAAATCGCAGAGCTGATGAGAGAGAACAGAGCAGCCAGATATGTGGGTGGCGGCTCAGCAAGAAAGGTCAGTAAGAGAAAAGGAGGGAAAGGCCGGAGCCTGGGAAGCACAGTGTATGAGTTTCCAATGGCTGCTGTAACGAATGGCTCTGAGTTTAGTGGCTTAAGAGAGCACACATTTTATCACCTTACAGTTCTGGAGGTCAGGAGTCCAAATTGGGTCTTTTGTGTTCCTATTTATTTCAAAACATTAAGGGAGTAGAAATGTTTTTGTTACATGGATAGCTTTTGTAACACTTGAGTCAGAGCTGTAAGTGTGCCCATCACCCAGATAGTGTTTGCTGCACCTGTTAGGTAGGGTTTTGCTCCTCTCTTCCTCCCTCAAATTGAGTCTTTCAGGCTAAAGGTGTTCTCAGGACTGTGTTCCTCATAGAGCCAAAAAAAAAAAGTTTTCTAATTCCAAGTACCTGTAAGGATGAGAAGCAAAAGAACTCTCAATCACAAGGGTGGAAATGTGAAGTGGCCAACCATTTTGGAAAACAATTTGACTTATCTAGCACATTATTGGGTAAGGTAGCTCAATTGCTAGAACAAGAAAATACCACAGGCTGGGCATAGTGGTTCATGCCTGTTATCCTAGCCCTCTGGGAGGCCATGAGTTTGAGACCAGCTTGTGTAAGAGCAAGACTATGTCTCTACAAAAAAATAGAAAAATCAGACAGGCACGGGACACCTGCCTGTCACAGCTACTTGGGAAGCTGAGGGAGGAAGATCACAGGAGCCCAGGGCTTTGAGGTTGCTGTGAGCTATAATAATGTCACTGCACTCTAGCTATGGCAACAGAGAACAGACTAAGACCCTATTTCCAGAACAAAAAAAAAAAGAGTAAAACTTTGTATCTTATGTAAACAAAGTCCATTGAATCTGTCCTGGAAAGCCAGAATCCAGTGGGAACCTAGCTTAAGGTGACCAGATTTTAACATTGGTAAAGTGGAACACCAAGGGGGGTGGGGGG